GTTAGGATCTGAGACATGGAGATAGGAAAAGTTCCTAAAAGAATACTAAATTATAATTAGGTAAGAGAAGGATGTTTTGTTATTTCATTGACTAGTTGGGAGTTTATGGATAATGATAAGGCTCTGAGTATTTTTGAGAGAAAAAAATGCTAAAGAATTTTTGATATATTCAGCATAGAGAAGTGGTGAGATTTTTTGAGGCTATAGCTGTGTTTGCTTTGATTCAAACATCACACAATGTATGACTTAAATATGGCATAAATATATGTAATTTTTATGTCTCAGTTAAGAAATTTTAGTTAGGAGCTATTTTTAAATTTGTCATTCATGTCTTATTTCTTTAACCAACAATGATTTACATATTGATATTTTTGAAAAGTTTTTGCACATTTTTAATAACTACAAATTAGTACTGCAGTGTAATTTATTTGTGTTCGGAGCAAAATCCTTCTCTTGAATTCATCAGAATAAGTGTGCAGAAATCACTATGGAGAAATGTTTGCCAGGGTGCTTCAAAAAGGATGTAATCTGCTATAAAATGGAGGATTTCAAAGATAAATAATTTTGGAAAATATTGCAAATTCACTATCTGAAGTTTTAGAATTTGTTAGCACTGCAAAAGATAAATTATACTGCTTAAGCCAGCCACTTACTTGCTAAACTTACAGGGGCATAGAACCTTTATCTTTCCAAGTACCCATTAAATGCATTTTGGTTTTAATGCTTGTTTTGAAATGTAGATTTGTTCCTGACTTAAAGATATATTCAGGAACATTTGTAGCTTAAGGTAATTTTTATAAAAGATTTATTTATTTGAAAGGCACAGTTAGAGAAAGAGTGGAAAGATTGAGGAGGAGAGAGATCTGGGTTTGCTCCACAAATGACCACAAAGATGAACAGCTTAGGGCTGTGCCAGGCTAAAGTCAGGAGCCATGACAGTCTTCCAGGTGCCCCTTGAGTTCTGGGGTCCAAACACATGGCCATTTGTTTCCTTCTTCTGGACACACTAGCAAGGAGCTGGATTGGAAGTGGAGCAGCCTGGACTCTAGGAGTGGAACTGGTGATCATATGGGATGCCAGCAGTGCAGGTGGGAGCTTAGCCTATTATGCTATAGCATGGTCCTGGATTTTTGGTTTACTTGTTTGTTTTTGCTCAGTTTTTCTTTTGTTTCTAATTTTGTGATACAATTCCGTAAGTGCTTGGATTTCCCTTCCCCCCTCCTTAAGTTCCCTCCTCGCCACTGATTTTCCCTGTATTATTGCAATAGTATAGTCCTTTATGAGCAGTTTTAAGTCCATTATTCTGATATTTAAGTGTATCCTGACAATGTGGATAATGGCTCTGTTTTGCAAGAGAAACAGTGTGTTAATGTGGAAAACTGTGCTCAGTTGAACCAAGACCCATGGCTGCACGTTGTGCACCACAGCCTCCACTGCTGACTGCAGCTCACTGCAAGTGTTGAGGCAGTCGTCACACACATCAGGGCTTCGTGGGCGTTTTCTAGTCTTCCCTCTACCCACTTGATAATGAATCACAGCTGTAATTCTTCTGAAACTGACTTTCACACGCAAATTGCAGGCCTTTATCTAGATTAAATGCTGTATTTATTGTAGGCATAAGCATTCTTGTTAGATATCTATATATTTAATTTGAATTTGCAAAATAGATTTTAATTGAAGTCTCCATGTGCATTTTCCTTATTAATGTCTCATATTACTGTATTCGTCACAATGAATGAACCATACCTAGCCTTTTCTATTTTTTCAAGTAGAATTTTTTTTTTATCACTCTAACCTCTCCCTGCTTCTAGTAATTAGTATTCTATATTCAGACTGGATTTTATTTTATGTTTTTTTAGTTTGGTTCTTACATGGAAGCAAGAACATGCAGTCTTTGCCTTTCTGTGTCTAGTTTATATGTCACTGAACATTGTTACAATCACAGGATTGTGTTATTTTTTTAAGGATTTATTTATTTTTATTACAAAGTCAGATATACAGAGAGGAGGAGAGACAGAGAGGAAGAGCTTCCATCCGATGATTCACTCCCCAAGTGACTGCAACGGCTGGTACTGTGCTGATTGGAAGCTGGGAACCAGGAACCTCTTCTGGGTCTCCCACGTGGGTGCAGGGCCCCAAATTCTTGGACTGTTCTCGACTGCCTTCCCAGGCCACAAGCAGGGAGCTGGATGGGAAGTGGAGCTGCCGGGATTAGAACCAGCGCCCATATGGGATCCCAGCACGTTTAAGGTGAGGACTTTAAGCCGCTAGACCACGGCGCCAGGCCCAGGATTGTGTTATTTTATATGGGTGAATAATATTCTGTTGTGTAATGAGACATACAGACACATACACACATATGTATATGATATTTTCCTTATCCATTTATCTGGCAATGTACATCTTGGCTGATCCCATATTTTGACTGTTTTAAATATGGATGCTGTGTACTGACTTTTTAGATTAGTATAATTCCACTTGCTAATTTTCCTCTTACCTGCACTTTTGGGGTTCTTATCCAAAATTGCCTGTGCCAATGTCTTAAACTATCTCCCTTAGATTTCCCTCTAACAGTTCATAGGTTCAGGACTTCTATGTCTTTGATCTGTTTTGAGTTGATGTTTGTGTAGGTGAAGTAGCCTTGACTCAAACCTTTCATATTGAAATTCAGTTTTCCCAGAAATTTTTGTTGAGGACACTGTCTATACTCCAGGATGTGTTTTTAGCTACTTTGTGAAAGATTTGATGCTTGTAGCCACATGGATTTTTAAATGGAGTTTCTAGTCTGTTCGATTAGTCTGTTTACATGCCAGCCCCTCAGTGTTCTCATTACAGTAACTGTACCATAGAAAATGGTTTTGTATTGTGTGCAGCTTTGTTTTTATAGTCAGTGTTTGCTTAAAGTATTTGACATCTTTTGTATTCCCATGTAAATTTTAGGATTGTTTTCTCTGATGTTCCAAATTCTATCATTTATATTTTGATGAGCTTAACATTCAACATGTTATGATTTACATAGCATGGACAATCTAGTAAAATTCACTCTTCCAATCATGAACTTGTGTTTGTATCCTCTGTTTTGTAATTTTCATTGTAAACTTTTTTTTTCGTATTTCTGGTGAATTATGTCTAAGGTATTTAAGAATATTGTGAATGGGATTTCTCTTATCATTTTTTTTCTCACAGAACATCTCCCTGGCATGTAAAAATGATGATGATGACGATTGATTTTGTTTCCTACAACTTGTTTATATTTTAATAATTTCTTGAAGTCTTTCTGTTTTTCTGTATTTTATTTTTTATTATCATTTCTTAAATCATGTCATCTGCAAGCAGGGATACTTTGTCTTCTTCTCTTCTCATGTGCATATTTTGTATTTCTTTTGCTGTCTGTGGCTAAAGCTCTCCGGTACCTTGTTGAATAAGAGTGATGAAAATTTCATTTTTGTCTGGTTCCCATTCTTAGAAAAAATGTTTGCAATTGTTCCTTGTTTATTACGAAAATGATTGTGTTTGTCATACATAGTCTTTACTAGGTTAATATATGTTCCTTTATATATCTAATTTGCTGAAGGATATTTTTTATCTTGAGTGAGTACTTTATTTTATCAGATAAGGTTATACAACTATTGAAATCCTGGTAGGATTTTTGTCTTCCATCCTGTTGATATGATGTATTACATCTGTTGAATTGTTTTCATTTAACCATCCCAACATTGTGGAATAAATCACACTCGGTCAGGGTGAATGATTCTGTTGCTGTAGGATTCTGTTGAAAATGTCCACATCCCTGTTTATCAGGGATCTCTGTCTACAATTTTCTTTCTTATTTCCTTATCTGGTTCTGAAATGAAGGCGGTGCTGGCTTCACAGGATAAAGTTAGAAGGAATCCTTTCCTTTCAAACTCCAGGAAGAGGTTTAGAAGGACGGATGTTAACTCCTCCTTCAAAGTTCAGTAGAATTCAGCCGTGAAGCCGTCTGGTTCCTTTTGTTTTTTTGAGGCTTCTTCTTACTCAGCCTCACTGCTTGTAGTTGGTCTCTTTAGCTTCTCTACATCTTCATGGTTCAATGTGAATAATTACATATGTACAGAAATGTACTGACTTTTTTCTAGAGTCCCAGTTTGTTGGAATGTGGTTGTTCGTAGCAGTTCTTGGCGATCTTTCGTTTTTCTCTAGTATGAGCTATAATTTTCCCTTACCATAATATTGATATTATAAAATATTTTATGGCAAAATATAAAATTTAGGATTTAAAATGATTTATTTTCACTTTTTTATCACCGTAGCTTCTGGGTAGTTTTTTTCTTAGTTATCTTTTATTAATCTCAAGCACTTGGTTTCCTTCCTTCTTTCTTTCTATTGGACGGTGTATACTGTTTATTTTGTTACAGATGCAAAGGGCAATAAGGGTCTTTTCTACACTGAGCGACCTTAATGTATGTGCTGTTTAAATGGGGAGAGTTAATTGTAGGCTAATAATTTGTACATATGTGGTCAGTGGAAGATAAGGGCAATATAAATAGAAATATCCTCTGGATGGATGGGTCTTATTTATTAGAAGTGTTTTGTTAAGATGAGAACTGAAGGATTGTAACATTTAGGCAGCTAAAAGAGGTAAAGATGGGTGGAATTACAGCAGATGGAATAATTTTCACAATGTAAGTTGTATGCAATGATATTACAGTTTTGGAAGCAAATACTTTAGCATGGCTGTACCAAGGGAAAAAAGAGGGATAAGAAATGGATCTGGAAAGATTAGCAAGGAATAGCTGATGCAGGATTTTGAATACCATGCCAAGAAGCTAGGAGGACACTTAAAATCTTGGAATGTCTCTTATGTTTCCAGGAGTGACGTGATGATTTATGCTTTAGGACAAGCACTCTGGAATTACAGATGGTAAATTTGACAGGTTATGATCCTACTAAGACACTGTTACAGAAGGTCAAATGAAGGTTTGTGAAGATCTGCTTTTTTTTTGTTTTGTTTTCTTTTTTTTCAGGTGAGAGCACAAACACAGTCCCCCACTACCATAAATTATGCAGTTGAGTTTCCCACATTTGGGGAAATTGCAGGGGTTAGCACATCTGGAGTGCAATGGATCAGCCTCATCTGGGAAAGCCACCTTCGTGATCGTAGTATCTCCCCTGCCAGATGTCATTCCGCTTTCTAACGTGGCTGAGGTGTAATGATTATCCTTGTGGTAGTTGTTGCTTGTGCATGTCTCTCGTTGGAAAGCATATGAGTTTATTTCCAGCAAGGAATATTTACTATCCTTCATATTGTTTCCAGTAATGTACAGTGTTTGACATGAGTAGGAAGGTAGACTTTTCTTTGATGGATGGCTGAATCATGTATATTGATAATAGCTTTTAATTTCTATATTCTTTTTTGCATTTTAAAATACAATTTCAAGTATATATGGAAAATTCACTTTGTGGTATGTAATTCTGTGGTTGTCTTATCTGTCCTTTGTATTTTTTATCCTATAGACCTTTCACATTCTATGAGGCTGTTACTTGATTGTTCTCTGTTTGGGGTTCAGGTTACGAGGATAATGAGTTAGGCTGAAATGCGTGAAGCATTTTTATCAATGCCTTTCCCAGAGTAAATGCTATCAGTCATTGCTGTGGTTATTTCTGTCTTTGTATCTGGAATTATAACTCTGTAACTGAGTGCAGGTTTTGTACCCTCCCTGCTCTGCCTGCCTTCTTGGGAATACTGTTACTTTGGAAGCAGTTTCAAAAAACTTTTTTTTTTCAGGTTCAATTTTTCTTTGATATAATGCCAAAGAAAACTCCTCTTTGTATGCAACTACTCCACCATACTTCATATCCCATTAAACTTCAATTCTGAGCACAGCAATAGCTCAGGGAGATATTGCATAATAACTTCATGTTCGGCACCAGGGAATCTTTGGATACACACTCAAGTGCCTGATTTGCTTACAAATGGGAAATTATAACCAAAATCTGGAGCTGAATCCTCCTTTGAAAGGAAGCCAGTGTGTTGTTTGTACCAAAACATCATTTTGGAGAAACCTAGTCTTTGCTCTTCAGTAGATTTCCCTTGTATTTTGGGGGTGGGAGCAAATAATAGGACATTTAAAATCTTCTCTTGCCTTGGCAGGGAGCTAGAATGTGGTTTATCTCATTAGGCCTTAGCCAATAAACATTTTAGAAATAAAATATGTAGTTCAAGTTATAAATGTGTAGCAGATATATTTTTGAAGAATTTACTTAAACCTGATCTTCATGTTTTGATCATTATTTCCATTAAAAGCTTTCAATATTTTTTCAATCTACACTTATATAAAAGTTTATATTTAGAAAAAAACAACCTAGTAAACTTCGATATTGCCATATTGCAGACTGCTCATATGGTTGATGAAGCAGCATTTTTAACTATGTACGAAATGATCTGGCATCTACACAATTTTACCCTCCCTGGGTTTTAACTGCCACAAGTCAGAGAGAATGTGATGTTTTTCATTTTGGTTCTGGCTTGTTATTTAGCATAATGATCTCCAATTGCATCCATTATGTGGCACGTATTTGTGGCTAAGTAAAATTCCATTATATATAAATACCTATGTATATATATGTGTGTGTGTGTGTACATTTTCTTTATCCTCTCATGATAGCATAGGCTTCTAGGGGTATCCAGTAGCTCAGCTATTGTGAATTGAGGTGCTATAAACACGAAGCACATATAATTCTTTCATATGCTGATTTCATTTGCTTTGGCTATATTCCCAGGAGTGAGACACCTGATCATGTAGTAGATCTGTCTTAACTCTCCATCTTGTCTCTCAGGGTGTTTGTAACGGTTTGCATTCCCACTACGAGGTTATTAGGGTACCTTTCTCTCTGGATCTCCGCCAGCAATTGTCAGTGTTTTTGTCAGCTAGGGTGAGGTGATAACACAGGGTGTTTTTTCCTTGCATTTCCCCGATGGCGAGTGATCTTGAGAATCTTTTCATGTGTCTGTGAGCCGTTTATATTTTATCCTTTAAAAAAATACCTTTTCATGTCCTTTGCCATTTTCTTAACTGCCTTGTTATTTATTGATGAATTTTTTGAGCTCTTTATGTATTCTGGATATTAATCTTTATCAGATGCATGGTTTGCAAATATTTTCTCTTGTTGATCGCTTTGCTTTGCTAAATGTTTTCCTTGGTGTGCAGAAACTCCTTAGCTGGATGTAATCCCATTTATCTGCCTTTGCTTTTCCTACCTGGGCTGCTGGGGTCTTAATCAGGAAGACTTTGCCTAGGTCAACGTCTTGCAGGGTTTATTCTGTGTTTTCTTCTAATATTTAATTTCAGATGTTAGGTTTAGATCCTTGAGCCATTGTGAGATGATTTTTATGTAGGATGTATAGTGAGGGTCTTGCTTCCAACATTAGCATATGGAAATCGAATTTTCCCAGTGCCATTTGTTGAAGTGAATATCCTTCCTCCTGGAAATGATTTTCATTTCCTTTTTGATTTTGCTGAGACTGGCTTTTTGGCCTTGCATGTCTTCTGTCCAAGAGACATGTTTCAAAGACTGATGAAAAGAATGTGTTTTCTGCAGCTATGCGATTAAGTGTCCTGTAGATTTCTGTTATTTCCATTTGTTCTAACCTATGGATAAGTTCTGTGACTTCTCTGTTGAATTTTTGTCTGGTTGATCTGTCCATTATTACTGTAGTGGAGTTTATATCTCCCTTTAGATCCATCAGCACTGGTTCCGTGACCTGCACAGTCTGAAAGGGTTGAAGAGAGAGACAACCCACAATTAGAAAAAAGAGAGACACAAAATAAAGGTTCATAGAATGCAGTGTGGGTGCAGAGGAAAGCCTGCTCCTAAGACTACAAAGGACAAGTGTGAAAACCCATGGTATCAGCTTCTTATTTTACTTCTTAGAGTGTCTCATTCCAGGAATTGATGTACCACGTAAGTTTAACAGCCATGCCCCGTTTTCATATTAAGTAGGTAAAAGTTGAGCAGAAACAACAGCATGGTCTAATTACAGGAATCAGTACGTGGCTTTTCCAAGGGTATCCTCAAAGCACGTGGTTGTGTGGCCTTGGGGCTGTTGCCCTCCTGCAGACCAGTGCCTGCAGGCCTCAACCTTGATTCCAGGTCATTGCCCACCAGAGGACCATGACCTTGGTCTCTGGCAACAACAGTCTGTGTACTCAAGTTTGTGGAGGCAACCCAAAATGCTATTCTTCACTAGATCAAGCTGGTTTATGTAAACTACTTTCAACAATTGGTTGTATAACACTGAGTGCCTGGTACTACATGCATATGCATTTACTGTAGTCACATTTTCTTGTGTTGAGCCATTAATCATTATGTATGATCATCTTTGTCTCTTTCAACAGTTTTTGTCCTAAAGTCTACGTTGGCTGGTATGAGTATAGCTACTCCTACTTATTTTTATTTCAGTTTGTACAGAATATCTTTTTCCATTCTTTCAGTCTTTTTGTATCTTTAATAGTGAAATTTGTTTCTTGCAGGCATCAAATACATGGCTGCTATCTGTCTTTCCATTTAGCCAGTCTGTGTATTTTAATTGGAGAATTTAGCTTATTTATATTGATGACTGAGTGATAAGTAATGTCACAGATCTGCCATTTTCCCATAAATATACCTATTCCTTGTTTTTACTCTCATTTGTTCTTTTGTTGACTCTTTTGCCTTCACATTCTGTCATGATTCTGATGAGTTTTTTGTGTTCTTGAGTGCAGGTATTGTTTGTAAGGCTGGCTGGATGGTAACAGATTTTTCAGATGTTTGATTTTTCTTGGAAGATCATATTTTTATTTCTAAGTAAGACTTTTACTGTGAAAAATATTCAGTTAGCAGTTTTTTAAAAAAAATTTTATTTTTATTTTAGAATTTGGACTGTATCTCTCCATTTTGTCTGGCCTGTAAAGCTTCTTTGGAGAAGTCTGTCAATTTGATGGAATTTCCTCTAAAGGTTATCTGGTAGTTCTTTCTTGAAAATCTTAGTTTTTTATATTTTATTTTTAAAAGTTTTATTATAATAAGTTATAAATAGGATCTTTTCTTACCATACCAACTTGGAATTCAATAAGCTTACTGTAATGGATTGCCTATGTCTTTCTCCAAAATAGGGAATTTTCTGCTATTATTGCATTGGGTTAGTTTTCTAAGCCAATCTTTTGTACATATTTTTGAGACTGTTAAAACTCCAACTCCTTTATTTGAGTGTTTGATGTTGTTCCATAGGTTTCAAATAAGGCTTTTCCTGTTTGTTTGAACTATTTTTATTTCCTATTTGTTTTCGTTTGTTTGTCTGAAGTATTTTTAAAAGACATGCTTCTGGATCAAGTATTCTTTCTTTTGGCTTTGCAAGTTTGTTTTTAAAACTTTCCACTATAATTTTTATTTGTGTTGAACGTGTCATTTCTCACATTTCTAATTTTTTTAAAAAAATATTCCCTTCTTTGCAGAATTTCTCATCCATGCCATGATGTTGTGTAGTTATTTTCTTATTTCTTGTAATGGCTTGCCAGTGTTTTTCTGTAGTCTTTCAATCATTATTTTGAATTCCATTTCAGGCATTTCATTTATGGCTCCATCTTCACAATCCGATTCTAATCATTGTTGTCTTCTTTTTGAGAGCTCATATTACTTTCCTTTTTCTGTGTGTCTTGTGTTCCTGTGTTAATATTGATTCTTCTGGGAGATGGCTTGGCTCCTTTGAAAAAAAATTTTTTTCCTATTGAAGACTTTATTTTCAAAATTTGCCTCTGTGGCTCAGAGGAGTACCCGAGGCTTGTTCTGTTCTCTCTGTTCTCTACCAACATTTTTCTCATCCATCCCCTGGGAATGTGGTCATATCTTTGCTTTTCTGGTATCTTTCTGTGGCTGAAATCAATGCAGCTTTTCACTACTCAGCCTTCTTAGATTGTTTAAATATGCTAAATCTTAAATAATTTGTATTAAATTATGATTATGTGGTTTTAGAGATAAGGGGAAATCTGAAATTTTAGAATAATGTAGAACTCTGCTTACTACAACATTTTTGGTGACTTAGGATGCTAATTTGAATCTGTCTCAAGTTCAGGCCTAACAAGGTTACTGGTATTTACTTTGGTCTGATTAGGTGAGATATGCAAAGAGCTGTAAGATTTAGAAATA